CCCCAAAGATGAAAATGAAGCCCGGCAGAGTCTCGAATCCCTCTTGGGTCTCTCTCGGCTCAGGATTCTAGCAAACGTGGCTCGGCATTGCCGGCCTGTTTTCGATTTCCCCGCTCTTTCCCAGATCGTGGATCAGCATTGCTGTCCTGTGATCTATCTGTTGCATTTCGCTGTCATGTCCGCCGACTATCAGGGCTCCGCTGCCACTCAGCCTATGAGCCAATATTCGGCTAATTTGGGTGATTCCATACAGCATGCGATTGTGCCGCCTTCGCCAAACCAGCGCGGCGGACCGCCTGAAGGGCCTGGCGAAGATATGTGCACGCGCGTGATCACCATTCTAACGAACCCTCCCGCTGCCCTGCCGCATGTTCCAGTCGATACCGTCGGGGCGGTACCTGCCGACGAGCTGTGTCTGTATCACTGTTGCAATGCTGCCGCGGATATGCATGCGTGGTTGCGCGGCAGACAGGCGTCTGGTTGCGCGGAGGATAGACGCAGAGTTTGCGCGGACGAGGCGCGCGCCAAGCAGCTCCGGGATCGCGTCGCGCAGATGGCGCGCGACGCAGGAGATGAAACCACTGCTAGCAGACTGCTGAAGACCGGACGAGAAGCTTACCCTGGCTTCGACGAAATGAAATATTTCTGCGAGGTCTTGGGCGGCCAGGTCGTTGTCGAGCACTACGAGGACACGAAGCACTCTGTTCAGAGTGTTTACGGCGACGGCCCGTTGGTAGCGCTTTTTCGGCTTCATAAGCAGTCCTCTGAGGATGGGCACGAGGTCGATCATTGGTCGTGCCTGCAGAGTTGGATCCCGCGAGTTCCAGGGGTCGCCGAGCACCAGAGCGAGCCCGAGGATGCGCCCGCCGATCCGGTCGCCGACAACAGCTCCATGCAGCGACGATTGAAGCTTCCAGGAGCTGCGACATGCAATGCAGAATTCGACGACTTCCTGATGGACGTAGACAACGAGCGGATCTGGCTGGAAGGTTTAGAGGCAGACCCTGACCCGCCTGCGCAGAGCATACTCGTGCAGACGGAGGCGGTGAAGGCACTCATTGAGCAGAAGCACGTCTCATGGGATCCGTACCTGAAGCGGATTGCCCTTGGGGCGCTGGCCATGTACCGGTGTCGGCTATCCGATATCTACGTTCGAGAGTACGTCATGATGATGCACATCATACTTGGCGGTGATTATCTTGTCGCCCACGACGGGGTAATGTACTTCTGGAACGGGAATATAAGGTTCTTCGAGAAGTACGAAGGTCTCATGCCAGAGATTGTGTATGCTGCTTTGAAGGAGTACCTCTTAACTTTAGAAGGGCTTTTCCGGTCTTTCACCGGCGAGGTCCGGCGGGATGACGAGTCCGTGATGGTCGCCATCGAGGGGTCGTTGGAGAAGAGCGGGCCGGAGGCTTCGAAGGCGTTCGCCGCGTGGCGCGACAACGCCATCTTCAACAAAGGAGGCAAGGGCAGTGGCAAGGGCGGCGGCCTGAGTGGCGCGGGTGAATCTGCCGCAGAAGCCGACGCCCTCACGCAGTTGGATACGCACGGGCTGGATGGCGAGGCGCCCGCGCCGGCTGACGGTGCGCCCGCGCCGGCGGACGACGGCGCCGCGCGCAGCGCGCCGTGGTACATCGCGATCGCAGTGAGCGTTGCTCGAGTTGGACGAAGCTTACAGATCCAGATGATTCAGAACAAGTTGCCGTCGTTTTACTGCGAGTGGTGCGAGACTCCGCGCCCCTCGCACAGGGGCGTCGCCCACCCCGACATCGCGTTCGTCTACGACCAGGGCGGAACCCCGATACAAAAGATCGCGACGGAGAGCGAACGCAAGAGCATATACATCGGCATACCGCACAAAATCAAAGCTTATTTGGGCGACCCAGTGTTGAAGGCGGCCGCGACGAGAGTGGACCAGTTCTACAGGCAGACATTCTGGGCAAACGCCGCCGCGCACAAAGTGTGCATGGCCGCCCTCGCCCTGGCGAAGAGAGGGTTGAACGTCGACCAGCTGTTCTTCTTCTGGGGGGCCGGCGGCGTCGGGCTTTCCCTGACGACAGCGCATCTCGACGCCATGCTCGGACACTCCAACCACAAGTATTTCGACCCGCAGGTGTTCTATCTGGACGAGGAGATGCGGAAGACGGTGGAGTCGCTCAAAGGCACGATCGTGCTCACGGCACAGGAGAAGCCAGAAGGCTTGAGGAAGAGCTTCCGGGAGGACTTGTTCAAGAAGCTGGCGTCTGCCGACGGCATCTTTGGTCGGCTCCCGTATCAGATTTTGACAAAGGTTATATATCTGGTCGGGTGGAAACGCATGGAGCTAAACAAGCTCATCACTTTCGACGGAGTTACTGAGGGTGCATTCCACGCCATCTACCGGAGGTCTCTTCTGATCAAGATTTTCGCAAGGTTTGTTGATGCGGAGTACATCAGGCGCGTCCTGCCAGACGCAGAGAAGTACGGCATCTTCCCGCGGGCGCCGGATCTGAAGCCGTTCATGCAGTCGGGGCCCGCCATCGCCGCCGGTCTGCAACGACAGCTGGGCTTCGAGCGGAAATGCGGCGAAGCGGCAGCGAGGTCGGTGATAGATGATTATTGCCTGCGCGGAGGAGATAACGGAATCACGGAGAAATACATGCGACAGGCGTGTCTTCTCCCGGAGCCGAGCAAGCCGAAGCCGAGCGGCCAGAGCAGCGCGGCTGCGCCGCCGCCCGGAGTCGACTTCGAGGTCGGGGCGGGCGGCTCGCAGGAGACGGTGGAGCCCATGGTGCAGTTGCGCTGCCGCCTCCTCGGCCAGATGCTCGAGCGGAGTTTCGACGCCTTGACGTTCCCATATTTCAAGCAGATTCATACAGGGCAGATTCAGGGCTTGCCGGAGAAGAAACCCACAGTGTGGAAGGCGATGTTGTCCAGTGGATGGTATAAAGCTGGTCTGTACGGCAAAGCAAAGGAGAGGTTTTTACCGAAATTGTTGACCACTCGCAAGTACAATGATATTGTGCCGGAGCCGAACGTGGAGGTCCCGACCGTGCTCCCTGAGCATTGGGACCGCGCGGCGCTGGGCCGCTACGCGAACGGCAACGCTTGTCGCAATCACAACGTCGACATTATGATTAGTGTTTTAGCGGCCGTCCCGAAGCCGCGCGGGCGGAAGAAGCGTGGGGCGGAGCCCGAGGTGGGCGACAACGCCCATCTGCGCGCGGTCGGCGCGTCCATTCAGGCAGCAGAGCGCGCTCTGGAAGAGTTGCTCGAGGTCGCGCGCGAGAAGCCGACCGTGGTCCCTGCCGACGCCCCAGCGGAGAAGAGGAGGAAAATCGCTATAAAGAAGAGCGCCAGCGGTGGCATCGACATGACGGAGCGCAGCATCCCCTACACATACAAACGCACTGCGGCCCGTCGCTTCGCGGAGGGTCCGGCGGCGCAGGGGTGCCCGGCGCGCGTGCTACATGCGCTGCTGCAAGGCACCGTAGATCTCGACATCCACAGCGCAGTTCTGACCATCGTTTGGCAACTCGTGGAACGACTTAGCATGGCCGATAAGGACGTTTTCAAGGGGGAGTTGGAGTTGTTGAAGCAGCTGGCCGAGGACAGGGACGAGGTACTGCGGGGCGAGTTGCCCGACATGGGGCCCCAGGCGGCCAAGCGCTTCGTACTCGAGACCATCGGCGGCTCCCGCTCTTTCGATGTCGATGCCAAGCCCTTCGCCAAGAAGTTGCAGCGCGCGAGCCGCGTACTGCGCTGGCTGGCATGCTCGGCGTTGCCCGAGGTTTACGACAGCTTCTGCCGAGACGCCGCGCTGGGCGACGGCGAGAAGACGGAGAAATGGCCAGAGGGGCAAACTTTCTCGACTTTCTACCAGCGCGCGGAGGACTACATCCTCCGCGAGTGGCATGCGTGGGTGCTCACGCAGCCGGTCAAGCATTTGTCACTGCATTTCGACGGCGTCAGGATCAGCAGAGACGCGGTGCTCGCAAGGCATGCCACCGTGGCGGACTACGCCGCTGACGCGAGTGCCCACATCGCGAAGGAAACAGGCTTCGTAGTCAAAATCAAGGAGAAGACCCACCCGACGATCGCGGAGGCACTGTCGAGCTGCGGGGCGTGGCGGTCGGTGGATGCGGCGCCCGGAAACCTACTGAAGCCCGGCAATGGTATTCTGCTGGCGCTGTGGCGATGCGGCGACGCCAGGGTCTCCGCGTCCGTTGTCTCTAGCGTCGGTGCCACGTCAGTGGGGAACAACGCCGCCAGCGTGGAGAAGGGGAGAACGTACGCGGAGTGTTGCCTGAGCCACGGCGTGTCAATGGCGCCGCAGCTGGGCTTCGATGCCTGCGAGCAGGGGTTTTATCTGCTCCACATGGACGGGCATGGTTCGCCATCATGCGCACTAGTCCACGTGGGGGCTGAGCTCGACATGGCGACGGTTTATTTCCGTGACAAAGCTGGAGAGATGAATCTGGAAGAGCTCCGTGATGCCGTCCTCGTCGGGCGAGATTCGAGGCTAGCAGTGACGTTTCACATTGATTTGTCCCCTGCGCCGCAGGCAGCCGCTGAAGACAGCGGCGACGCCAGTCCCTTGGCAGAGCTCCTGAATATGATGGCGTGAGGCCTGCGGCAACGGAGTCTGTTTCACCGCTCTTCGCTTGCATTGCTCTTTGCCTCGCCGACTGCGCTACAAGCAGGTGAGCTCACGCGCAGTGGGGGGATAACAAGTCAATCATTGTTCACATGCATCCATCACCATGCCAGATATGACTTCATACGGATCGGAATAGACTTGGAGAACCTGATTTACAATGATATTATGAGCAGGTTTGTCTTTGCAGAGGTGTCTGCGCGCCGTCTGAGACGCCACTCGCCGCGTCGGCTCAAGGCATATCTTGTACGTGGGTCGGCTTTGCCGCCCTGTGCTCTCTTCGCTTTGCATTTACCAGTATTTCTCTGTGGGTCGGCCTTGCCGCCCTGGCACCTCATCGCCTCGCCGCGCGCTGCCTGGCATGTGCGATGCTCTCGCGGTTGTCGAAGACGCCGACCCGCGCGGAAGGCGAATCCGATGTGTTTCCGGGGTCAAGCGGTCCATCGAGTATGTGTCAATCCAGCTCCTGAGCAGCACTGGCGAGCTGGTAGATGACGAGAGGCCCGCGACACCAGACCCTTACCTGCCTGACGTCAGCAAGCGGCAGTGGGAGGCCAAAGTTGTGGCCTGGCGCAGGGAGATGTCACAACTGCTTGACGAAGTGCCAATTGGTGCGACGGAATTGGCAGCGGCCGAAGAGCTCGGCGTCTGGGTAGAGCCCTCGCCGCCCGCCGTGCGCGGCTGTCGAGCTCTCCTGCAAGATGGAAACTGCATACTGCTTGCATACAGCATCCTGACGCAAGACTTCGGCGGCTCGACCGACTATTGTGCGCGATTTCCCGTTCGTCGAGGCGGGGGGCGCCGCTGCGCCGACGTCGCCGACCACTTCGGCTTTTCTTTGGCCGTCGCGCGCCAGCAGGCTTCGCGGCAGGGTGCATGCCCACTCGTGCCCGGAAAGTATTTCTGTCATATGCGGAGGCATTGCTGCGCTGCGGCAGTCCTTTCAGGGACAGATTCGGTTGTCGTGTGGAGAGGTTTCAGCAGGCACGTTCTGCCGACGGCGCAGTGGGTGCGCCGCGTCGAGGAAGTCGAGGGCGCGCTGTTGCACATAACTTACAGCGGTGAGGGCGCACTCGGCGTCGATTTAACAGCTGGGCGGAAATCCTGAAGACCGCGGCCGGCAGTTTTCCCCGAGATGCGCTCGCGCCGCCCCGGGGGAAAAATGTATCACATCCAGAGAGGGGTAGTGTTGACAAGGAGTAAAGCGAATAGGGTTACATAATGATATCATGAGACAGAATACGATATCACATATATTCTCTCGTAATTACCTGAACATCGAGGCCACCTTGCACTCGCCGTCGCGATTCGTCGATGGCCGCTCGCTTCATCGGCTCAGGATTCTAGCAAACTTGGCTCGGCATTGCCGGCCTGTTTTGATTTCTCCGCTTTTTCCCTGATTGTGGATCAGCATTGCTGTCCTGTAACCCTTCTGTCGCATTTCGTGTCATGGCCGCCGACGACCAGCGCGTTTCTGCCACCCATGCGTGCCTCAGCTTGGCTCTGAACGCATTGGGAGCACACGTGCCGACCAGCGTGCGAGGCCCATTCCGTGCGCTCGAGCATGGGAACCAATGGCTGTCACATCTCGGCTTCGCCCTGATCCAGCAGCCGCGGGGTCCGACTGGTCCAGGGCGTTACGTCAAGTGGGAGCCGCCGCGGCGCGAAGCTGGATTGGCCGCGAGCGTGGGCCACTTCGCGGCCGTCATCCTGCGGCCCGGCAGCGCCACTGTGATAGACCGCCGAGCAGGTCTGCCAGCGGTTCGCGAGTGGTTGGCGTGGGGCGACATTCCGGACGTCGAGGAGCACAAGTGGTTCTTGTTGGTGGAGCTCGGCGCGCGGAGGCCGGGGACCGAGGGCGGCCGCCCTCTTCCATGGGGCGCGACTTCTGAAATTATCGAAGCTCATAGGCTGGACGCACTCATCCGTCGGCGCGCGGCTCGCGAACGAGCGACCCCCTATGGGCTGGCGTCGTCGTCGGGCTCGCTCGCGCCGCAGGAGGCTGCCCGGGTATCAGCGAACCGAGAGGAGGCAATGCGGCGCAGAGCTTCGCGTCTGTTCTGCCCGTTGCCGCCGGTGGGGTGGCCCGGCATTCAGGTGCCCCAAGTCCCGTGCGATTTCTCCATCGAGCTGCCGCGTCTTCCGAAGATCCGCTTGCTCGAGCGACTCAACGCTCACCCTCGGGATTCCCAGTTGCACTTCGTCGAAGAGTCGCACGCCTATTACATTAGCGGCGCGCGAACGCATGGGTCGGTCACGGGATTGATACATGAGTACTGCAGTGTTTTCGACGCTGGCGCTGTGATTGGGAAGATGCGGAGCGGGCGGAACTGGCCGCGACCTGATTATTTGCGCCACCCTCGCCCGGAAGACGTGGTCGCGGAGCTGCGGGCCACGGCGGAGGCTGCTCGCTTGCACGAGTTACTTGTTTCGCACGGAGCTTGCGACGCCGAGATCTGCGCCGAGATGAAGACAACTGCGAGAGCGGCCCCCCACTTGGCAAACCAACTGGAAAGTCTATCTCTCTCGGATCACGAGATCGTTGAGAAATGGCGCCTGAACAAAGAAGAGGCGGCTAGGCGGGGCACCTGGATGCACTGGACGTTCGAGGCCCACCTCAACCGCGTTCCGGTGCCCCGCGATGCCGTCGAGTTCCAGTTGTTCTTGAAATTCTTGGGCGCGCTGAAAGGTCTGGCGGCTTTCCGCACCGAGTGGGCCATCTTCGCCGAGCACGAGGGGCTCGCTGGGTCAATCGACTTCGTGGCTCGAGACTCCGCGGGCAGCCTGTACATATACGATTGGAAGCGGGCGAAGAATTTACGTTCGAAGTTCACGAACCCATGGGGGAATATGAAGTTTCCATTAAGCCGATTGTCAGACTGCCAGGGAAATCATTACCGGGTGCAGCTTAACATCTACAGGTGGATGTTGGAACATTACTACGGCGCCCGCGTGGCCGCGATGTATGTGGTCTGCCTTCATCCGGACAACGGCGACCAGCCATTTGTGGACGACGTGCCGGTGATCCCAGAGATCGAGGAGCTCATGGCCATTCAACGCACGAGGTCCCGAGAGTTGCGGGCAATGGCGTCGGAAGACGTCCGTGAGATAGACCCTCTGGGCGGCTGGCCGCGGCCAGTCGTGGCGGCGCGCATGCCTTATTGCCTGAGCACCGCGGCCAATTTCGATCGCGCCTTTCGCCAGATGTCAGTGGACGTCGCGCACTGGCGTTGCCGTTGCGATGGTGCGCCGTTCTCTTGAGGTGCCGTTGCCATTTCCGAATGCCAACTGGCAACGGATGAAAATGGCGCGCATGGGCTCTGCGGGAGCCACGCTGACAGCCGCGTGCTCTCAACTTCCGCAGAAGTAGCGATGCCCTCGCATGAAGGAGTGCGTGGATGCGAAGCTTGCGTTGCCAAAAAAGAAATTGTTATGTATATCAACAACAGCCGAAGCGGAGAGGGGCACCCAGAGACATCATATATCCCACACCATCATTGCAAAGAGTAAATGCCGACGCAAGTTGCGCTACCCAACAGGCGACGCGCGCAAAGTCCTCTCGGGAGTAGCATAGAATATGATTTTTCCCCAGCTCGCGTTTCGGCGATGCGCGGGGGGGAAAATCAGCACGGCCGTTCGCTTCATCGGCTCAGGATTTTAGCAAACGTGGCTCGGCATTGTCGGCCTGCTTTGACTTCCCCGCTCTTTCCCTGATTGTGGATCAGCATTGCTGTCCTGTGATCTCTCTGTCGTACCTCGGCGCCATGGCCACCGACGACCAGCGCGCTGCCAGTTCTCCATTTCTGAGCTCGCAGTCCCCTGAGGTGGGCGTCCCGACGCCTGGCGGGAGGGCTCGCCAGCGGCGCGCGTACTCTGGCGCCCGCTCGCTGACGCCGGCGCGCAGGAAGCTTCGACTGTCCTCGCGGGCTGCGCGCGCGGCTGCAGCGCGAACACCTTCATCGTCTCCGGAAAGAGACGACGCCGCTGACATCGAGGCTTTCGCGCTGATGGTATCGAAGATCTCAAATGAAGCATTCGATTCTATTATGGCATGCTTCCCTTCCTTGCGGAGACGGACATTAGCGCGTTGTTTCGCACTGGATCAACAGATTCGCCAAGACAAAACGTTCATCCTCGTGAAACCTTTCACTTCGAGCGGGCCCAGGGCCTCGCGTGGCCCGCACGGTGCCGGGCAGCCCGGAGTCCTCGCTGTTGTGCCTTGCTGGTTTCAGCCTGCCAACGCAGAACTTGCCTCGGTGTCGGTGTCAGCCCCCAGCCCTGTTCACGATCGCTGTTTCCTTTGCGGGATGGACGACGGCGACGTCGACGGCATCGGCCACTATCTGGAAGGGTGCGTGGCCACGGTGAGATCATTTCCTTTCCCCGAATTGATGCATTTGCGCGCAGCGACCTCCGCGTGGGCCATGTTGGCGCAGCGATTGGAACCTCACGGCGACGTCTTCGCATGCGCGCGGTGCAGCGGAGTCTGCGTCGCCTGGGAAGACACCCTGAACATAGATTTCACCGCCGATATGCTCAGACTGCACCGGCGACACGCGGCTGAAGAGCAAGCAGGGACGTCGGCCGACTCGCGCCCGCGACTGGACTCGGGGGGATGCGGCGGCGCTGACGCCATTGCGCGGCCCTCAGTCGAGAGCGGGCCGTGACTTCCGATCGAACTTTTGCGCAGACAAAATCGCGACTTCTCAATCATCTCAATATTTTCTCCTCGCCTTCACACGTGCCCAACGTGGCGCGGGGCCTTCGTGTCGCTCGATATCCCCCATTGCCTAGCTCTTACATATTCGACGGCCGCGCCGCTATCTCTTCATCACCCTCCGGCTCAAGACATGCATTCCCCGTGGGTCGGCTCTGCCGCCCTGTGTTTTCTCTGCCATCTCACCCGTGGGTCGGCCTTGCCGCCCTGTGTTGTTTTCCCTACCACCTCTCCGCGCTATCTCGCATGCGCGGCGCGCCCGCTCGCCAGGAGCAGGACGGTGCCAGGCTCGCGCAGGCGCCGGCTAGGAAACGGATCAGAGGCAAGAGAACGGCGGACGACGTCGGCGAGGGCTGGGTGTGCCTCGCGGCCGAGCAGCGCGAGCCCCACGAGCTCGCGGACGCGGGCTCGGCGGATGCACCTGAATCTCCGAGCGGCGATGAGGGCGAGACAGCAGTGCGGACAGAGTTGTTCGAGTGCCTGGAGAAGGAAGTCAAGAGTTACGCTGCGGGAGTGACGCTCCTGCGCCCCAAGCGGGACAGCGAGGGCGTGAAGTTGAAGTTTGCGTGCGGTCTTTGCCCGTTCCGATCGTTCTCGACGCAGACGCTCTTGGCCACGCACGTCTCCAAGTACCACCTCAGAAAGACGCGCTTCGTGGCCTCTGGCACGAAGCAATTCAATGTCGTGTGCGCGTTGTTCGACAACGACCGGCTTCTGCGAACTCCAGCAGGGAACCTGCTGAAGCGGTCTGCCACGATCCTGCGCGAGACAATATCTCCTGCTGTTCATCGCGGACAGAACGCCATTGACAAGGACATTGTGCTGGTCCTCGACGACGACGGGCCGTCGTACCAGAACAAGGCAGCAGTCGGGCAGAATCTCGCGTGCAGACGAGTGGGGTACACATGCTATACCCGTGGCTTCGCCGATATCCTATTGCAGGAGTCCTTGCGCCACCATGGGCGCGTGCGCCCGGCGATGCTGCGGACGTGCGCTCGCGTCGTAGAGCAGGGCTCCGAGTTGAGCAGCATGCTGCCGACAGATGTCGCTCATTGGCTAAAGCTTATGGAAGACGTGTTCAACAGCGCGCACGTAGGGAGGCGCAGCGCGGCGTTGATGGAAGAATGCCACCGGCATGAGGAATTCCTCCACGTCTCCATGGACGCCACCATCCGCATTCTGCGCAGGGTCAAGGGCCAGGCAGATTATCGGTCCGCACAAACAGTTCGCGACGCTGCGCCTGTGCCGGACGTGGACGCCAAGCGCCGCGTCCTAACTCTCGCGGGCCGGACGGGCGCGGCGCTCGGAGTTTTCCTGACGAAGGACGAGGGGGCTGATGAAATAGCTGGAGCCCTTGCAGCTCGTTGGTCGGCTGCGTGCAGATCGCAGACGGCGTCCGTCGCCAGTGACCAGCCGAGCAGCGCGCTATTCCGCGCCTTGCAAGGCTCATGATTTCCCAATTTATCGGTCTTGAGCCTCGACCCGGTCCATCTGCCCATCACGTACGAGGAGACGCACTGGCGAAAAAAGACAGTGGGATCACGACTGTTGCGGATACTGATGGCCAAGTTCACGAAGGTGGATTGCACGCTACCCGCGCACTACTGGGGAGCGCCGTTCGACGGGACGAACGCCCCGACTCTGCGACCGATAGAGGAGCGCGCGCGAGCACAGATACTCGATCATTCACTGGCGAAGTCGCGAGCTCAATATGTGATCGACCACGTGAACGCCGAGCTGCCATGGAAAACAACGCATGAGTTCATCGAAGCAATCGCCGCGCTAAGCGCGCTGGTTCCTGAAGAGCTTGCTCGCCGCACCCACGTGAATAACGTTCAACTGAAGAGGTTGCTTTACAATGCGACTGCCCCAGCCCGCATGCAATGGTTCTTCAATAATCAGCGATTCAGGCATTCCTTGCCGGCGGCGCGCTTGGCTCTGTTGGGGTCTGGCACGTCCGTCAACGAATCTTTCAACCACGAGATCAACACGTGGTTTCGCAATCAGGGAGACATCTACGCGTCGACGGCGGAACTTCAACTTAGGTTTGGGTTCTTGGGCAAGCTGCAAGCCCACAATTGCGCGCTGCATTCGCCGACGCTGCGGCAGCTGCGACAGGCCAACGTGCTATCGCGAAGCATTATGGCATGGGCTTTTCCCCGGGATGACTGGAAGAGTTACTGCGCGCTTCAGGCGCAGGGCGGTACCGACGTCCTGGCGCCAGCGCGGCTTCCGCTGCACGAAGCCCGGCAGAAAGTCGCGCGCAAAATTGCCGAACACGCTGCGCGCGTTCGGGGGAAGCCAGCGGCTCGCGACGCCGCGCCTGCCGGGCGGCGCGGCGCTCAGAAGAAGCCCGCTGCTAAGGCGCTCTTGGACAGTCTGCGCGATCGCAAAGAGCCCAGGATCAAGAGAACAGCTTTCACTTTGAAGCGCAAACCCGCGTCGCGCGGCGCTTCTGGCCAGGCTCCCACCGCGCGCGCTCGCCAGCGGTGACTGGTGCCGATTTTCCTTCTCTTCGTCAGCATTAAATGGTTACAGTCCGCACCCTTCCTCTCCCGAGGCTCCTTTTCTCTGATTCAGTCTCGGTGCCGCGTCTTCTGTAGAGCCTCAAATGCTTATATCCATGGGCGCGTGATCATAGACGTCGTCACGACAGTGGCTTCATAGTATGTTGGTTTTTTCCCCGATGTGCGCCCCCGCCATTCTGGGGGAAAAATGCATTGCGCGAGTTCTATTGTCTCAACGCCTGCGTCGTCGTAGTAGGGGGGAGCGAGAAGACCACAACGACGCTTGCCACGACGACGGCGTAAGTGATGATGAGGATGGTGATGATGATGATCACGCTGGTTTCGATGATTACGATGCTGATGATGATGGCGATGAAGATGCGTAGGAGGAGCAGGAACAGGAGGAGGAGGAGGAGGGAGAGCAGGAGGGCGAACAGGATGATGAGGGAATGGGAAGAGAAAATCGGAAAGTCGGCGAGAGTTCTGCTGAGGAAGAGGGCACGAGAAACGATGGAGGGAGAGGGTGAGGAAAAGAAGAACGAAACTGAATCATTCTAAAAAGAGGATGAAGCAAATCCGAACATACATGATAAGGGTAGTGATGGAGTGGAACCACAGAAAAAAAGGGAACGCACATTATACCGCAATCCTCCCCTCACATATATATATATGTATAAAAAAAAAAAAACACAACGTAGGAGAAACATGTACCGGAGGAATTGCGAAGGAGTTGCGTAGGAGTTTGGGGGGCCTCTTTGGGGAGAGGGGATTACTGGCGGGGAAGCGTTCGCGAGCGGCCCGATTGGGCCCCAGCCGAAAATTCAAACCTTCGACGGCTGTGACTCGTGCCAGGCGCTGAGGCTGCAGCTGCTGAGGAGGGAGGAGAGCCAGGCGGCGGGAGGCACGCGAGCGCGAGGCAGCCGAGCACTGAGCATTCCCTGCTGTGGACGGGGCCGCATGGGACAGTGCGAGCGGGTGCCCAGGAAAATGAGAAGGCAGATCGTAGAACGTAGAGCTTCGGAGAGTGGGCGTGGGGCCCATGCGAGGGAGGAGGGCGGGAGGAGCAGTGATGGGAGGGGGAGGGGGGGGAGAGGAGGAGGAGGGGGGGGGAGGAGAGGAGGGGGAAGAGAGGAGGAGAGGAGGTTGAGATGCCAGAGAGAGGGAGAGAGAGAGAGAGAGAGAGAGAGACGAGCGTTTGTATTTGCAGCAGCAACGTTGGCTCAATCTAGATGGCGCCCAAAAAAAAGCAATGGCGCCGCCGCTCGAAGGCAGCCCGAGGAGTGCCAAAAAGGCAGTACATACGCAATGAGGCTGGAGAGGAGATGCGGCTTGCTGGAAGCAAGGCTTTTGAGATCCTGCTAACTGTATGGGCCTCGTGCAAAAAGATATCAGCTAAAGACTTTTGTGTTGTCTGTGGTTACCTAGCCCAATGCAATGTGCCAGGAGGAAGATGGTCAACTTTCGGTCTTCCGCCCGATCTTGAATCGGGCAGATACAAAAAAGAGATGGACAAACACTTGCCCAGCGGAGGGCCATTCTACGCTGCTCGAGTGCCAGCGTTCCTGAGCAAGGCTTCGCATGAATGCAGCAAGACGGTCCTATTTAGGCAGGTCTTCCACTCGATCGCAGCAGAAGTCGAGGAGAATAAAGACATTCAAGAATCGTTGAGGTACGGTGACACGGGCGATTACAGCAGTTTCATGTCCAATAGGGTGTACCAAGAACACCCCCACGTCCAGGAGTGCCTACAGGAGGGAGGAGGTTACCCACTGCCTTTGGCAGTGTACATGGATGGTGTAAGGTACACGGCGCAGACGGCTGGTCGAAACGAGCTCTCGACTGCGTCAGCTCCGCCGCCCCCCCACCCACCCGCCCCTCGCCCCTTCACAAGTACACGCGAACAACACATACAACCATTCGGCGTTAGCGAGGGGGGGATAACCATGCAGCTCACGCGCCAGGGTGCTTTGTAAATTCAGAGGGAGGGCAGCATCTTGGACGTTTCAATAATAAATATGATATCATACAAGAGACATCAACTCGGCTTCATGAAGGTGAGCGAAATGTGCGGGTGTGGTTGTGGCGGGCACTGCTCCATATACTCTATGATGCAGGTTGCGTCCTTCCAGCTGCAATGCCTCGTAAAGGGCTCGGTGCCAGACAAGAAACACGACGGGTCAGACTGGGAAGCATGGGAGAAACCCACCGCGCAATTTTCGTTCAGGAGCGTTGTCGTGTTGCTGAAAGGCGACTGGGCAGAATTCGCCAAATCCATGGGCCTAACTGGGTGGGGGTGCGTGCACGACTGCTGTCCGATATGCCCATGCTCTAAGGATGGGCTGCCGATCGTGGACGGCGAGTTTTTGAACAACTGCGGTTTGCTGTGGGAAGATAGATCTGAGGAGGAGTATGAAGAAACGTGTAAATCCTTCGAGCACGAAGTAGTTGTGGGTACAGAAGAAACGCGCAGGAAGCTGCGGGCATTGCTGGTGCCAGTGAAGAACAAAGGCCTCCTGTTGAAAGCCGACTGTCCGCCCTTAGGCTTGCTGGAAGGTGACCGTCTTGAGCCGTCTCCTGAATGCCTGATACTCCTCGAGTTTCACAAGGTACCATTGCCCTTCAAAGCTGTGTTCTGGCGACCGAGATGCGATTGCCTGGGGCGGAAACTAGGCTCAGTTACTCACAGGTCCCCCCTGTTCAGCGCGGCGCTCGGGACATCGCCAGTGCGGTCGCTCGCGCTAGACACGTTGCACACGGTGCACCTTGGATGCATGCAGAGGTATGTCAGCGCGGTCTTGCGCAGACTCACGTTTGCAAATCCTTGGGGTGCGCCGCGATCAACGGTTTGGCACCGACTTGAGGCAGAACTCATGACATATTATGAGGAGGAGGAGGTGCCGCATGAAAATAGGATCGGAACGCTGAACGAGAAGATGTTTCCAGGAGAGGAGTGCGCCTGCTTTGGAGGAGGAATTTGCAAGTTGAAAGGTTCGGAAACCTTCCAGATTCTGAAGTTCGCAGTCAACAAGTTGAAGTATCATGTAGGATCGGGCTGCGAAGTCCCGCATGGAAAGGAGCTCGTTGAAGCAGGTGAGGCCCTGCTTACTTGGATGCGGATTTACCGCTCCGCGAAGTCTAAGCCGACAGTGTCGGAGTACCAAGTGTTGCGCGAGAGTTGCGTCGTTTTCCTGGTGAACTGCGACCTCGCTAAGATCCACTTCGCTCCGAAGTTCCACCTCTTCGGGCACCTGACGAAAAGGAGCATGGGGTTAAAAACTTGAACCACTGGAAGCATTATAAGGAGGAGAAGGGGGGGATGAGGAGGAGGAGGAGGAGGAGGAGGAGGAGGAGGAGGAGGAGGGGGAGGGGGAGGAGGAGGAGGAGGAGGAGGAGGAGGAGGACGGGTCAGGGAACGGGAAAGATGCTAAGGATGAACAGGGAAGGGGGGCATGAGAAATGAAGGGGGGGGTTCTTGTGCACCCCTAGGAGCGAATGCATGGGGTCGCCTTCAGAGTACGACACTTTCGTGGATGAGTCTCTAAACTATCTTTTGAGGCTGTGCGCAGAACGGTCCCACAGGGCCACCATGGAGAAATCAGTGTTCCAATGTTTCGAGGTCCTCGGCCGCATGAACACAGTCACCCACTTGTACGGTAACATCCAGGATGGCGACCCCAGAACCAGGAATAAGCGGCCCAGAGAGGATTGATGCCAGAGGGTTGATGGCAAATCTAGCAAAGCATTCCTTCGCAACATTCCTACGCACGACATTCCTACTCCAACTCCCTCGCTCACTTTCCCACGCACAGCATTCCTACGCACTCACTTTCCTACGCAACTTCAAACTCCTACGCGCCCACTTTCCTACGCAACTCCTTCGCAACTCCTTCGCCTCCTAAAGAGAAACACATAATAACTCCTACGCAACTCCTTCGCAACTCCTACGCTCCCCAACTCCTACGCTCCCAACTCCTACGCCTCGAATTCCTGCGCTCCCAATTCCTACGCGTAGGAATGTCGAGCGTAGGAATGTGTGCCGTAGGAATGTTGAGCGTATGAATTTGCAACGTAGGAGTTCTGACCGTAGGAATGTTGACCGTAGGAATGTGGTGAATTCTCTATATGCAGCCGCGCTCGGCTGAACCCTGGCTGCGCTCCAGCGTGCGGCCGCGGCCGTGCGACGCCACGCAGGCGGCGAGCAGCGCTGAGGGAGGAGGAGGATCTCGAGGAGGAGGAGGAGGGGCCAATGAGCAGAAGAAGGATGCCGAGGCGAGGAAAGAGGTCGAGTGCCCACCTGACATCACTCCTCAAGCAATGGCGCTCGCGCACGAGATGCTGGCGAAGTTTAGGAACGAGCTAGACGAGAAGAGGGAGAGAGCTAAGCCGCAAGAAGATATATCCTCGAGTGCATCAGACGCCGGCGACGATGGCAAGAGGTCGCCAGCATGTTCGCTTGACTGGGACGAGGAGAAGCCAGCGGAAGAGGCAGCTCGAGATCTAGAGGAGGAGGGAAAGAATAAGAAGAAACACAAGAAAGCTGAGAAGAAAAATGAGAAAAAGAAGTCGGACACGAACTTGAGGCGCATTTTCGATGACATCGTTGCAAGGGGGGAGAAAAAAACAAGGCGCCGCGAGGAGACCTCGCGTTTGAAGGCCGAGGATGCGGAAGAGCTGGAGGCTAAGGTCCGCATCGCATCCTCCTTGCCGCCCCTCCCATCCCCCCTGTCATCCCTCCTCCTCGCCTCGCCCTGTCATCCCAAAGGTCGCCGAGCAGCGGATGGACGACAGCAGCTGGGACACTCGGCGAGATTTCACGACCATGCGCTTGATTTTAAGGCCGAAGGCAACCCTGAAGCGAGACAATGACAAGGCCATGAGGGGCCCAAACTACATGATGGCTTGGGACCGCGAAGAAGATGAGGTGCTCAACGTGAAGATCACCTCGAAGGAAAAGGCCTCATTAGAGATCATCGCGTCGCACGCGGG